GAACCTGGGAGGCAGAGGTTGCACTGGGCCAAGATCATGCCATTGCACTCCAGCCTGGGTAACAAGAGCAAAAGTCCGTTTCAAAAAAAAAAAAATTTAAACCCAAGATTTAAAAAAACTGAGATGGGGCTGGGTGAGGTGGCTCACACCTGTAATACCAGCAACTCTGGGAGGCTGAGGTGGGTGGATCACCTGAGACCAGGAGTTTGAGACCAGCCTGGGCAAAATGACAAAACCCCATCTCTATAAAAAACACAAAAATTAGCCATGTGTGGTGGTGCGCACCTGCAGATCCAGCCACTCGGGGGTGTGAGGAGGAAGGATCACTTGAGCTCGGGAGATAAAGGTTGCAGTGAGCCATGATCACACTACTGCACTCCAGCCTGGGTGACAGGGTAACACCCTATCTCAAAAAAAGAAAAAAATCTGAAATGGCTATGGATTATGACTTCTTGAGGTACAATCAGCATTTATCATCATAGTAAAAAAAAAAAAGTAATGATGATAGCAAATAAGATAGTATATGCAAAGGAAAAAAACTATTAATCATTACCTCTGAGAATAATTTATTTTTTTAAATCAGAAAAAATAAAATGTATATTACTTAAGTAATCTGAAAAAGTACAGACTCTTTTAAAAGACTGTTCTAATCAAAGCTTTCAAATTTAAGCTGCCAAAAGGAAGCTGTAAGAATTCTGGTCTAATAGAAGACAGCTACCCAAGCTACCTTAAGGAAGGGGGATGAGAAAAAAAATGGAATCTGGCCTTAACTAAGAAATAGTATTATCTTTCTTTAAGAATCAGATACTGCTAAGGAAAAAGAACAGAGTTAGTGAAGGAAATCCCAAAAGAAAATTCTATGATGTGATTACCTTAAGATAGTATTACTTTTATATTCAATCGCCTTTACGTTTTGAGGAGGATAATAACACTAAGATATCATCTGTGACCTAACATATCCATAATCCAAAAGAAGCTATAAGCCAGGCATAGTTGAAACTAAAATACAGAGGATGACAATTGTTCTAAAACAATAAACGGTATTAAATTAAAGGGAGAGAGACTGAGGTTTTCACTGTGTGATAGGAATACATGCATGTCTGAGGAAAATCCAGTGACCCATTCTGGCTAGCAGAAATGGTTCACATATAAAGGCCTACAAAGAGACCATATGGAGACAGACTGTGAAGGGTCTTAGCTCACACTAAAGCAATTGTATACCACAGTCTAAGAGAAGCACTTAAGGTTTTTGAACAGGAATGAAACATATCAGATGGAATATTAAGAACATTAATTTGGAAGCAATACATGAAATGATTAGAGAAAAAAATAAAGACAAGATATTAATTAACGACAGCAACCAGCCAGGCACGGTGGGTCACACCTGTAATCCCAGCACTTTGGGAGGACGAGATGGGCATATCACGAGGTCAGGAGATCAAGATTAACCTGGCTAACATGGTGAAATCCCATCTCTACGAAAAATATAAAAAATTAGCCAGGCGTGGTGGTGGCACCTGTAATCCCAGCTACTCAGGAGGCTGAGGCAAGAGAACTGCCTCAGGAGGTGGAGGTTGCAGTGAGCCAAGATCTCACAACTGCACTCCAGCCTGGGTGACAAAGTGAGAGTCCAATTCAAAAAAAAAAAGGGTCGGGCGCAGTGGCTTCCAGCACTTTGGGAGGCCAAGGTAGGCGCATCACCTGAGATCAGGAGTTCAAGACCAGCCTGGCCAACATGGTGAAACCTCATCTCAAAAAAAAAAAAAAAAAAAAAAAAAAAAAAAAAAAAAAAAAAAAAAAAAAACTCAAAAAAAAAAAAAAAAAAAAGAGCAAGAAAATAAATTTGAGAACCGCAAAATAGGATTTTAACTTCTAACCATAAATTATCTTGTCTCAGCTGGGTGTGGCAGCTCACATCTATAATCCCTGCACTTTGGGAGGCCGAGGTGAGTGGATGACCTGAGGTCAGGAGCTCGAGACCAGCCTGTTCAACATGGAGAAACTCCATCTCTACTAAAAAAAAATATAAAAATTAGCCGAGCATGGTGGCGAGGGCCTGTAATCCCAGCTACTCGGCAGGCTAAGGCAGGAGAATTGCTTGAACCCCTTGCAGTGAGCCAATGGTCACTGCAGTGAGCCAAGATCAAGCCACTGCAAAAAAAAGGCATTTTTTTTTTGCCAGGCGCGGTGGCTCAAGCCTGTAATCCCAGCACTGTGGGAGGCCAAGGCGGGTGGATCACGAGGTCAAGAGATCGAGACCATCCTGGTCAACATGGTGAAACCCCGTCTCCACTAAAAATACAAAAAATTAGCTGGGCGTGGTGGCGCGTGCCTGTAATCCCAGCTACTCAGGAGGCTGAGGCAGGAGAATTGCCTGAACCCGGGAGGCGGAGGTTGCGGTGAGCCGAGATCGCGCCATTGCACTCCAGCC